CTATAGAATTATAGCTGCTATTCTTTTCCAGAGTTTAATTCATGGGAGATGAGAAGGTAATCTTTCTTGTGTCAACCAAAGCTAATTTCCTATGGTTCTTTCTTTAGGAAAGCAGAAGGATTGAGTAAATGTTAAATTAAATTGTCAAAGACTACATTTTCCTTCCCCAATGAATCCATTACTGTCAGTAGTACTTACTGAATAGCTACAGGGCTGGAAAAAGGGCACAGGAAAAAAGTCACAATTAGAGACTAGAAAGTACTGGTGTAGTAATTAGGTTCATGGATATCTTGTGTGTGTGGGAGGGTTCTGAGAAGTGATTGTAGTGTCTGGGAGTAAGGAAAATATATCTTGAAGAGGCTGGAACTTGAACTGGGCCCTGAAGCATGTGTTGGATTTTGATAAAGTAATAACCTCACTTAATGAACCACTTTCTCCTTAGAGTATGCCTGACACAAGAACTTGAACTTCTTCACAGAGGCATGTTAAACTTTTTATTGACCTTCAGCTTACAGATCTCTGAGACTCGAGAGCAGTGGTTCTCAACCTTCTGGCCCTTTAAATACAGTTCCTCATGTTGTGACCCAACCATAAAATGATTTTCGTTGCTACTTCATCACTGTCATGTTGCTACTGTTATGAATCGTAATGTAAATATCTGATATGCAGGATGGTCTGAGGCGACCCCTGTGAAAGGGTCGTTCGACCGCCAAAGGGGTCGTGACCCACAGGTTGAGAACCGCTGCTCGAGAGGAAAAGCTGATATATATCCTGGTTAGTGTTTCTAGCCATAGTATTTCTTCCTCGAAGACTATCTTCTCCCAAAAGAAATAAGTTCTTTTTTATGTCAGCTAGGATGTTTCTCTAAAGAGAGAAAGTTGTGCTCTAGCTGGTTTGGCTAAGTGGATTGAGCATTGATGTTTCTATCTCTCTCACCCTCTTGCTTCCTCTCTGAAATCAATAAAATATATTTTTAAAAAAGAGAGAGGAAATTGTTACATCCATAAAAAGAACTTGGGGAAAGGTTTTATATTAAAAATAGAGGCCTGATGCACGAAATTCCTGCAAGAGTAGGCCTTCCTTCTCCTGGCTGCTGGCACCCGGGACCCGGGATTCCCTCGCAGCCCTGGTTTCACCCGGAAGGTTGTCCGGTCTAATTAGCATATTACGCTTTTATTATTATAGATAGCTGATGATGCTACCAGAACATGCCCCAAACTCCCACACCGCTGTCTGGCAGGAGAGAAGCTCCCTTCTCTTTCTCTGGGTGAGAGATAGACGGATGGATGGATAGAATTTGCTTTATGAGCATGAGACTAAGCAATCTTTAAATACTCTCCAGGTACTACTGCCCTCAAAGAACCTCCCTGTAGAATTTCTCAATCAGTGCTTGTAGCAGAACACATGCCTTTGGAATACTCTGTGTTGAGGTGGGCCATCGGGAGCACTTGTAGACCTAGCCTTTGATTTCCAAAGTACTTTGGGGCCCCACTCCTCAAAAAAGCCAACAGGGGTCACTTCTAGTTTCTATTACAAACCAAGACCACATGGCAGTGGAAATGGAATTACAGCAACTGAAGCAATTTCATTTTGAGTCTTAGTCTTGCTATCTGGAATGGGATGAAAAATGTGAGTGAAAGTGAAAGTTGGTAGAGATGGGGAGGCCTAAAATAGTAGCAGTTAAGAATTTGGAGATGAACTGGAAATGCAAAAACCCCAGTGGCCCACTTAGTAAGTGTGAAATGCCACTGAGAGGTGATGGAGCTCCAGCCCACGGAGCACTCAAGGTCACAGTCAGGGAGGCCCCTCCCTGGCAGTGCTGGGAGAGGCTGTAGTCTGGCTGAGTCTAATTGGAAGGGTGCTCTGGGGGTCAAGTTGCTCCCAAGTACCTTTCCCACAGCCTCTCATGTCCCTGATTTCTCCAGGGAGCATCTAAGAACAGCTTTGATAAACATAAAGACAAAAGACATGCCCAAGGAGGGCAGGAAAGTCAACTTGGGAACCTCTAAGCATCCAGGACCAGGGCCCCGGGTACCTTTTAGCAGAGGGAAGAGAAAGCCCCCACACCGTAGTGGCAGAAAGGGATTGCTTTTCTGTTCAGTATTCCAATAAAGCCTTTGATGAACTTATTCTAAGAACTTATTTTAAGAACAAAGACGCCCAGCTCCATCTTCCTCTTGGGCTCCTTCACCTGCCAAGGGTGCATATGAATGAGAAGGTGGAGTGGGATGGGGTGGCTGGAGCATCCTGGCAGGTGTCTTTAACATGGTCCCAGGTGTTCGGATACCTTTCTTTCTCTTCTTTGAGAGCCACGGGTCAATGAGGCTTATAGAGGCCAGGCATTGTCTACCTGTTGTAATTGGAGGGACATTTCACAACTAGATTTATTGGACTAACACCCATCTCCCCCTCATTTAAAAAAAATTAAGTTTATTGAATCTTATTACTCGATATATCAATTCCTTTTCTTTACTCTCATTTTTTCTTTATTCTTTTAAATGTGATATTAAACACGTAAGAAAGAATAATATCATGTGAATCAGAAGGCGTCATAGTAAAGTAACATCTGTGAAACCACCTAATATGCTTTGTGAGATGCAAAGACCAGCGTAGATGGAGTCAGGTCCCTGATTTTTGGGGACTATAGCAGGGATCTATTAATCTAATCATGTCTAGTAACAACTAGATGACGTCAGCTTCCTGCAAGAAACGGCCTTTCCTTGGGGTGGTGGAGGGAACAGGAAGAGGCAACGGCGGAGCCCTGTCCCTGCCTGGCTGGGGAGGGGCTGCAGTAACAGAATCCGTTCTGCTTCCCATTTGCTTTGTGACTTGGGTTTAACCTATTTGTGCCTCAGTTTTCACACGTGTAAAGTAGGGATGTGAATAGTACCAACTAAATGAGGTTGTTATGAGGTATAAATGTGACTCGAAGTGAAAACTTCTTGTCACAGAGTAAGCACTTCACAAATGTTAGAGGCTATTGTGATGGGGAGGGTGAGAAGAAGGATAAGGAAAGAAGGGTGAAATGAGCAGAAGTTAAATTTCCCCACAAGATCACTTTTTTCTTGGCTTAGTTCTGTCCCTGGCCTCTTTCATATTGGCACACCGAGCAGGGAGACCCAGATCTGAAGGGCCTCCAAGGGGAGTTTAAGCTGATTTAAAAAAAAAAAAAAGGCCCATGGGCCCTGGCCAGTGTGGTTCAGTTGGTGGGAGCATCATCCCATGTACCAAAGCGTCTTGGGTTCAATTCCAGGTCAGGGCACATGCCCAGGTTTCAGGTTCTGTCCCCAGTCAGGGCACCTGCGGGAGGCAACCAATTGATGTTTCTCTCCCTCTCTCTCTCTCCCTTCCTCGCTCTCTACAATCAATAAACATATCCCTCGGGGGAGGATTAAAAAAAGGGCCAAAGGGTGAAGTGGAAGGCCCATCTTATAACTGAAGTCTGCTCTTGGTGAGTTCCTCCCCTGCTCATGGTTGGGACTGATCAGAGGAATCCCTGGGAGTCCAATGAAGGGGAAATTCAGGGCAAGGCAGAGGAAAAGGCAAGCACCATCTGCAGTGGACAAAACCAAAACATCACTCCCATGTTTAGAAACGTCACTCTTGGGAAGCGGTTCCAAGCATTTTGCCTATAATTTTCATCCATCTGTCCAATGGCCTTGCTTGAGTTCCCATCTCCAAGAGGCTTGAAGTCTTGGAAGACAAAAGACCATTATGACAGGATCTGTTGAATGCTCAACTGCAAAACAGGAAGTCCAAGCAAAGTATGTGGGGAAGGGGTGGCTGAGCCCCTGCTGAGGTAGGTCATCTGGACCTTCATGGGGAGTGTGGCTGCCTAGCCTACAGACGGGGTGGGAGTGAGACCAGGGAGGAGGGATACATGAGGCAGAGAGAGGCCGGGAGACAGTCAATGTCGAAGACAGAGAAGACAGGAATCGTTCACAATTGAAGGGTGAATTTTTTTTTATCAGATCCTACATGGGCAAAACTGCCCCATTGGGCACAGCGATCAGGTCTCTGACCCGGAAGTGATCGTGACTGTTCTGTGCCTCTGGGGGTCCCCGCATAGCTGAAGCTGGGCAGCCCCCACATGAACACGCCAGAAAGCCTGGCTTTGCCTCACCATCCCTCACTCCCTGGTGGCAAAGTCACCCGGTCTGAGTAACTGGATGGAGGGGGCAGGAGGGAGAAGGGCCCCACTTTGAATGGTGGGGGGTCACCTCTGAATTCTCTCTCGCAGGGACATGTCTGGGGTATACACTGTAAAAGAATGAATTAAACCCGGGAGCTGAGGGCAAGGATCATTAGAAGACTTTTGTGTGCATATTTTGTAAAAGATCCTCAAAGGCATAAAACCTGCACAACGTGAGTTGTTCTTGAGACGGAATGCCCTCATTTCCAATCAGGCAATCCACGCCGTCACTGGCACCAAAGAAAAGAAGACACGCCCCGGCCACATGCCTCTGTACCTGCGACAGCACCACACCGGGCGCCGTTGGCCTCCTTATCCCGGAACAAGGTTACACTTGACCCAGGAAACGGGCGAAGCGCCGGCCATAATGGAGAGAAAGCGTGTCCTGGTCGCCGCGCAACCCACACACGTGCGATCACAGCACACGCAGCACACCCAGCACACCCACCAAAAAAAATAGCGGTTCTGTTCCTCAGAGAAAGGAAGGAGAATGGTTACTTAGAAAGTGTCCCAGACAAGCTGTCAGATTGAATTCGGAGGCTGGAGTCTGACTCCGGGACAGGCCTGGCTGGCGGAGCTCCCTGGGGACTGGGGTTTCCTGCCTGCTTCGCTTACAGACAAGGATTCTTTGTTTCCAGCTCTCTCTCTCTCTCTCTCTCTCTCTCTCTCTCTCTCTCTCTCTCCCTCCTTCTCTATCTCTCTCTCTCTGGCGAAAAAGAAAAAAAAAAGCACACACAAAAGCATGCTGCTCTCCAAAAAGGGTCAGATCGAAAGCAGACAAAACATTAACTCTGGAATTTCAAAGGAAAACAATTTTTTTTAAAAAACTAAGAGAGCAAGCTACTGTCTATTCTGTAATAATAAATCTTGCCTTTGGACTGCGTGCACACACACACACACACACACACAGCCAGCAATCATCCCCACTTTTGCTAAAAATGGATTAGAGGTATTTCATCATAAAGGAAAAACACAGAATGACACAGTTCTTAACAGGCCCTCCCGTGAGTCCCCCATAGCTTTGGATTTAAGTGCTCCATAGTGGACCTAAGCCGGGCCGCGGAGCCATAGGACCTGCTGCATGGGAGGTGTTATTTACTCCCTAAAATAACAGGGCATTACCTCACAGCGTTACAGGCCTTTTCCGACGGCACACGTGTTCCAGACCACCGCCCCCCCCACACACACACACACTACCCCGGCCAGGGCGACAGCGCGCGGCCCATGCCCACGCGGAACACCCAAACACACGCTCCCGCGCCCTCCACTCAGGGTGCCACGTCCCCGATGCTGGACCAGGAAACACGGGGTCCTCTTTCACTGCATGATACATACGGGGGGTGGGGGAGGGGGGGCGCCAGCTTTAGGCATAAATATTCTGCACTCATCCATGTTCTCCCATTAAAACAAAAGTTCTTGGGGCATCTTTTCAATTTTTGGAAATTTCAAAGATGTAGAAAAGCAGAGAGGAGCCCAGCTGGCGTGGCTCTGTGGTTGAGCCTTGACCTCTGAACCCAGTGGGGCACATGCAGGAGGCGGCCGATCAATGATTCTCTCTCATCCTTGATGTTTCTATCTCTTCCTCTCCCTTCCTCTCTGAATAATCAATAAAAATGTATTTTAAAAAAGGGGGAAAAAAGAAAAGCAGAGAGGAAACTACTGAACCCCATGGCCCCTTCATCCTGCCAATCATATTTCAGCCCTGCTTTCACCCCCTCCCCCTCCCCCTCCCCCCTGGTCTTTCGGAAGCAGATCCCTGGCTCCGCCCCTTTGCTGAGCTTCCTGTCTCACAAATGACACAGCCCACTTTCAGTTTCCTGTGCTCATGTCACACTGAGGCCTTGGTGCCCCCGCAGGGCACACTCCTACTCACCCCCAGGAACTCCCCTGGTCCCTTCCCCCACACGCAATGTGAACACACAGGGTTGCCCCATCTGCGTGGCTCAGTGGTTGAGCATCGACCTATGACCCCGGAGGTCAGGGCACATGCCCAGGTTTCAGGTTCGATCCCCAGTAGAAGGCATGCAGGAGACAGTTGTCTTTCATCATTGATGTTTCTCTCTCTCTCTCCCTTCCTCTCTGAAATCAATAAAAATATATTCACACACACACACACACACACACACACACACTCGGCTCCCGCACCACAACTCCCGTAAGTGCACGACAGACGCAGGCATATTGGCCGGTGTCTTCCTTGTCTACCATCGTCCCTTCCTTTCAATACCCACTCCCAGCAGGACCATGCTGCATATTTCTAGAGGCTTCCCATCAGCCTCTACAATTCAGCCAGAAAGGACGTCCCAGAGAGGGCGTAGCATGGTCTCTATCACCCACACTCCAATGCACAGTATCAATAACTTATTGACCCATTGGTGACTCTGACCATGAGCCCCTCAGGGTAGGTGCCGGCTGTGCACCCTACTTCCTGGGCTGGGCCTAGCGTCCCCTACACCTGGGTTCTTCATAAATGAAGAGATGAATGGATGGAGTGGAGAAGGGCAGGGATCACAGACGCAGTCCATTCCTGACTACGGTGCTGAGTGACTTAAAGCTCTGCCACCTGCTGTTCGCTCCCCGTGGCCTTGGCTGGACCCGCGCCATCTCTGGCCTCCAGTCCCTTCTGTCACAGGAGAGGTTGGAATGGAGGATGTCCAACTGTAGCATTTAATGATTTTCCATCCCTTCGTTACTCTCAGAGCTTCTCGTATGTAGCACGTGGTTTTCTATTTGAGGATATCCAGATTCCTAGTATTCCTTAATAGTCCTATAGGTGTATCTCCCTGATAAGATGCTAATCAATGTGGTGGTCTCATCCATGGTATCACCGTGCCATAGGATATGGTGGCTCCTTCACCATCCTCGGCACAGTGCTAGCATAACGGTGAACCCTCGACGTATTCTAATTCTTTTGCAATAAGAATATCATTATAGTTAGAATTCACGAAGCTAACACTGAGCACTCAGTGGTGTGTCAGACAGTGTGCTAAGCGATTTATGGGCGCATTGTCTCGGAAGGGACACTAAACAGCCTCCTTTTCTACACGAGGACACTGAGGCCTAAGAAAGAGTGAGTGACTTGTCCAAGGTCACACAGCCTGTTGCGTTCAGAGCCCGAGATTTTAATCACTGTTTTAATGCTGAAATGTGAGATGAACACCCGCCTTAGGTAAATCGAGAGCATTCATTAAAGAATGTTTCAGGTGCTGGGATTAAATACACTGAGAGGTGAGAGGCAGCCTGGAGGGAGGAAGGAACACCAGAGGCCTCCATTTGCACCCGCTCTGCTCCAGCATCTGGGGGACTTCAGATGAACCCTGTCCACAGTCTGTGTCCCGTTGCTTCATGGACAGAATGGGATCATGATAACCATGATAACGCCGGTCCGGCCGTCTCATGGGGATGGTGGGAGGCACAGACTAGATCCTGGACAGTGAAGAGCTGCAAAGTGGGGGCTGCTGTGTGCACAGGCCCTGCCCCTGGAAACCGCCTCGAGAGACTAAGGGCTCTCGCGAGCATGGGCTTGGGGCCTGTTAGGCATTTTGCCGTAAAGGACGCAGAAAGGAGTGTCTCCTGCCCCCTTTCCCACACTTGGCCTGCCAGCACACAGCCGTTTTCTCCATCAGCTGCGGCCCTGCAGGCGACGGGGCTCCGAGGCAGACATTGTGCCCCGTGGGGAAGCGGTGCTGCACTCGGCACAGGTCCTGACCGGCTTCCCGGGCTGGGGCTGGACGCTCGGGCTCCACGGGCCATGGAGGGTTTGTGCGTTCCAGGAGTTCATAAACAGGGAGCTCAGTCTCCTCCACCTTTTGGGGAGTCAGAGGCCCTTACACAGATCCAGCCGGACCCCGAGGAAGTGAGGGTTGTGCAGGCAAAGGAGAGACCTGCTGGCTCTCGCAGGCTGCGTGTCCAGCTGAGGACACAGGAGTCAGTGGGCCTGGCTACAGGACGTGCATGTCCTTGGGAAAGGCCACTGAGCTTCTAGAACCCGTGTCCTCCCTGTAAATTCAAGTTACCACCTACCTATTCGGGTGTTTTTTTTATTTTTATTGATTTCAGAGAGGAAGGGAGAGGGTGAGATAGAAATATCAATGATGAGAGAGAATCATTGATCAGATGCCTCCTGCACATCCCACACTGGGGATTGAGCCCACAACCCGGACATGTACCCTGACTGGGAATGAACCATGACCTCCTGGTTCTCAGGTTGATGCTCAACCACTGAGCCATGCCGGCTAGGCCCACCTATCTACTCTTTAGATACATACGATGAGGGCATATAAGGAAAAAATCCCTGAGATATGAACGATGCACTAAGGTGAAGTTGTCAAATCAGTGATGATTATACCATCATCAACGACAAACCCTGACCAGGTGGTCCTTTCACTCAGCCTGCACCTGCATTAGTACATCAACTGGCCCTGCTCTTCCTTCTTTAGGTGGATTTGGGGCCACGAAAGGTCAAGATCACCTGCCCAGAGTGGGGCTCTGAGACGGTCTTGCTTTCCTCTTTCTAGCGTGTGTCTGCACTCTATGGCAGGGCTTCTCGATTTGGGCTACAAGCTACAGAGTAACCCAGGGGCTTTCAGAAAAGTTTCCACGCCCACACATCTCTCCTAGAGATTCTGAATTAACTGGTCATGTTTGGGATCTGAGCATCAGCCTTCTAAAATTTTTTATTTTAATTTCTGCATTTTTATTGTTGTAAAACATACAAAGAATTTACCATTTTGGCCATTTTTTAGTCTGTGTTTCAGTGGCATTCAGTGCATTCATGTTGTGGAAGCATAACCATCAGAACGTTTCATCTTTCCACACTGAAACTCTTGTCCCATTAAACAAGAACTCCTCATTCCTCCTCCCTCTCCCCCAGGCCTGGGAGCCACCATTCTACTTCCTGTTTGTCTGGCCAAGGTACCTCATAGGAGTGGAGTCACACAATATCTGTCCTACGGCATCAGTATTTTTTAAAAAGCTCACCAGGTGCTTCTCTGTGTAGTGAGGACTAGGGGGTAGTGCCAAGTGGGGGTGCATATGAATTCATCTTTGGGGAAAGAGGATAGAATAGGCATGCAGGTGGGGGTGATAGTGGGAAAACTACAGGAACAGAGAAAAATAATGGGGGAAATTCAAACCTCTGCCCAAACTACGCTTAGGCCAGGTCTTGTTTCCATGGAAAGTCAGCCAGAGGGGAAAGGCTGTCTGAAGGGGGACCATGAGCAGCAAGGGATGAGGATCCCACAACCTGGGTCTGAGTCCTGCTCTGCTGTCGAGTCCCCGGGTGCCCTTCAGCGAGCAATTTAACGTCGCCCGGCCTCACTCTTTCCATCTGCAAAATGGGGAGAACCATGTCTACCTCCCAGGGATGCTGCCAGGCTCAAGAGCAGAGGCCCAGCACGTGAATGTGTCTGAAGCATCACGGATTCTACACAGACGACGGTGGTGGCTGCTCTTGCAAACGGGCAATGGATGCTTCCATGCTGTATGACTCAAGTGCATGAGCCCTGATAACGAACGGTGGAAAGAACACTGTTCCAGTTGGCTCCCCTCTATGACCAGAGACTATTTCATAAAGGCGCTTCAAGGCCGCTATAAATTGAATGTTAAAAACTCGTCTTACTTCGTGGGCACAAATAGCCTTTAGAGCGTGCAAGCATTTTCAAGAGACAGGCGGGGTGACTGGGCCATGTGCAAGTCAAAAGGCATTCTAGTCTGATAAGAGCATCGAAGAAGCATTAATAGACATCACCTCCTGAACTTCTTTCCTTTGTGCCCGGTGCCAGCACCTGCCCTGTGTGAAGCGCGTGCACACACACACACACACATACATACACACATGCACACACACAGCTGGTGCTTCAGAGGGACTCTCAGTTTGTTTGGGGGCTCTGTGTGTGTCTTCATTTGAACGAGATGGAGCCAGGATTGCAGTGCATGTTCTCTTTTATTTTCCCATTTAATATTTTAAGAAATAAAGGTAGGGATTAGAGAAAAGCAGAAGAGAGGAGGTGGGGAGGCGATTGAATTGGGGGAGGATAGAGAGGCCTGATGAGCTTTGTCTTGCTAATGCACTTTGTTTTGCGGCTGATGGCCGCTCAGACAGATTCAGACCACCTCACAAGGGGGAGGCGACACAGCAGCAAGACAGCTCAAGTGGCAAGCGTTACTGGGGACAAAAGACGCACCTGCAAAGCGCAGCCCTAATCGTCCCTGGAGGCCAGGGCCAATGCTGGGAGATAAGTGCCCGGCAGCACCTGAATGAGATCTGGCAGCGCAGCGTGCATCCGCCGGGATGCTGCTGCTAATTCATGGCAGGAGAGGGTTGCTGCCCAGCTAGAGCGAGTGGCTCCTGTGATGCCTGAATGAGCCCGGTGGCCTTAGAGATGTACTCCCTGCGCACAAAAGGACCAGGGAATGCACTGCACAGGTAGGGGGGAGGGCTGAAAGCTAGGAACCCTGGGGGGAGCAATGTGTTGGTTATTAATACAGTTCAACTCAGCCAAACTGGCTTCTAAACCAAGCTCTCTAGTTAAACCCGGAGTCTCATCAGCCTTAGCCTGTGGGGCTGGAGGAACTTTCAGGGTTCTCCGTATTCCCTTCCTCCCTCCATTCCTCTTGCTCTCCCTCCTCCCTTCCTCCCCTTCTTCCCTCTTCCTCCAGGCCTTCCTTCCTCTCTCTTTCTCTTCTTTCCTTCCCTCCTTCCAAGAAGTGGGTCCCTATCTGCAAGTGAAAGGAAGTTCCCCAACGGAAACAGATGGAACCAGAGTGGCTCTGAATGGAGGCAGAGCCCTCACTCTGTGGCCCCAAGTCATGCCTAAGGAGCCACAGCTGGAGAGTCTGGGTTTGACCGGAACTGACTTAGTTCAGCCCCTTCACTTGATGCGAAACTAAGGCTCAGGGGTTGAAGGGATTTCCCCAAAGTAAGCCCAAAGTGCCCTGACCTCCAAGCCAGGGTGTTACTCTAATACATTTTCTCTCCCTTTAAAAAATATGTTTTTATTGATTTTTTAGAGAGAGGGAAGGGAGGGGAGAGAAGATAGAAACATCGGGGATAGAGAAACATAGATCGGCTGCCTCCTGCACTCCCTCTACCGGGGATCGAGCCCACAAGCCGGGCTTATGCCCTGACCAGGAATCGAACCAGCGATCTCTAGGGTGCATGGGACGATGCTCAATCCACTGAACCAAGCCAGCTGGGCTACATTTTCTCTCTTATCGAGATTATTAAATAGGCCATCAAGTAAAATGTGGCTTGGACTGCAGAATGAGACTATCTAATTTAGTTTGCATGGCAAAATTAAATAAATCTGATTTGGAAAGGAAAACAGTAGCATAAATAGGACCGGCCCAGGTTAGGGTAGGGGAGAAGGAAGCAAATGAAAACCACAGATGTTTACAATCAGGTTCATCATGTTGTATATTTTCTCCACTACATTTTTTTGTCATCATTTGATTATAACTTATGAACAGGAAACACAAAGTCCTATGTGATCAAAGGTGTGGCCTTGGCCAAGACACCCAGGCTGTTTGGGTCTCTGGTTTCCTCCATAACCCGTGAGGATTCTGAAACAAATGGTCTCCAAGTTTCTTCTGTTAAAAGAACATTATGTTTCTCTGGAATATGATACCGTGCTACTTTAAATGCAACCAACACTAAAAACTTCTGCCTTCATTCTATATAATGGCAGGTGTGCACTAAAGAAGAAGCAGTGAAGGAGGGAGCAAGGTAGAGAGAATGTCTGCCGTACTCCTATTCATCCCTCAAGTCCCCACACAAGAGTCCCCTCCTCCAAGGAATTTTTATTTTGCCTTGGGCGGATTTTTCTCATTCACATTTTTTTCTCCCTCAGATCATTCTATTCACTTGTTTAAATGCCTAGAATCTAACACAGTATCTGGAGCAATAAACCTTTACATTATTGTTTCAGAAATAAAGATGTTGAGAAATGCTATTGTAATCTTTGCTAAAATTGTCACTGGCAAACATTGTTTGCTGAGTCTGTTTTCTTTCTCTTTAACCAAACCAAACCAAAACAACGAGACTAAATCCTCAAATCACCACTTTGGAATTGCTAAAATTTGTTCTCAAAACTTTGAAATGTAGCATTGCAAGCATCCCGACAATCTTTATTTCATTAGTTTCAACAGGGAAAACCCAATTTCCAGCTTGGAGAGCGAGCGATATCCATTGCATTCTATGACCGAACATTTTCTTTTTGTGGAGTCACAGCTTCAAGTCATATCTTTACGATATTATGACACGACATTTTAAAACCTTGTGGTATTTTTTTTTCCCAACTAGTGGCACAAGCAGGATCAGCTTTGGCGCCGTGTCTCGTGTGCTAGAGAAAGCTGTGTGGAATCAGAGAGCCGGTGCACAGGCCGGAAACCCCCCCACCCATCTCAGCGGCATGGGCCCGTGCCCGCCTGTACCGAGGAAAATTCTAGGCCCCCCAGGGAACAGACTCACCTTCTTTGACACTCAGCCGTGGCGACTGGTCTGTGTGGGAGGGGGTGTTATAGGCCAACAGTGAACCTGAAAGGCAAAAGCAAAAGCAGGTTAGAACCAAGACTCTGTCCTGCGATGAAGAGTAGGAGGTGACAATGAGAAGGGTGTGGGAGGGGCAGAGACAGGGGGATAGGACAGGGGACCCATGAGTCCTTGAGAGAAAGAAAAAGTCACTGTGATCCATTCTGGGGACCGCCATAGCTTCCTGGGTCAGGGTCAGAGTGGGTGAGGACAGAACGCTCGCCGGTGGGACACCCCCACACCCTCCCAGCGGCCTTCATGCTTCAGAGCTCCTCGGGGCCACGCCACGTCATGGCAGGAACACGGGACGGGGAATCAGAACACCAGGGCCTGTCCCGGTTCTGCCCCCCACACCCCGTAAGCAGCTTTATATGTCTAGACCGTGATTTCTCATCAGCAAAATGATGGGGCTGAACTGCAGCCGGGGCTGGCATGCTTCGAGGCCGGCTGACAGTGCAGGCTCTGCAGGCCCGAGGCACAGTCGCGGCCGCACATTCTTCTGTGTTTTTGTTTTGTTTTGTCCACGGGCCAGAGTTGGCCAGCGCTGGCCGGCAGCTCGGGCCCTCCAGGCCCTGGAGGAGAGGTCGGCTGCCCTGACGGCCTCTGGTTTCTGTGCAGGTCCCTTTGCTGCTGGGCCAGGCGCTCAGATGCTCAATCACTGCGCTGGAGGAGTGGGAGTGGGGGGTAGGGAGGGGTAGGGGAGGTGGCCGTTCTCCCAATAGTAACTTTGCCAACTAAACGCCAGGCATAATACCTTGGGTTTTCTGTCATCCCTGAGGGCTGACATACAATCTTTTAAAATGAAACTTTAACGGGTACCTAGTCTGTACCGGGCACTAGTGCAGGCATTTTAAAGGCATGATCGTTTTTTTCCCCGGCTGGGTGGCTCCCTTGGTTGGAATGTCATTCCATACCATGAAAAGGTTGTGGGTTCGATTCTTTTCAGGGCACGTACTTAGGTTGTGGGTTCGGTCCCCAGTCAGGGCACATATGGGAAGCAACCGACTGATGTTCCTCTCACGTCGATGTTTCCCCCTCTCTCCCTTCCTCTCTCTCTCAAATCAATAAGCATGACCTCGGGTAAGGATACAAAAATAAAGGCGTGATAGTTTTTGTTGTCCCTTCTTTCCTAAAACTGGTTTTGTTCCTTAGATTCAGGCACATTCAAGAGTTTTATTTTGTAAAATGTGAGCTTCCCCCCGCCCCCCCCCCAAGACTCCTTGAGATTCTCCTGGGGAAACTAGGGCGCTCCCCAGACGGGGCTGGAATCTGCTTTCACGGGGGACACGAGAGCTCGACATAAGCGCTGGAGGAGGAATAAGTCTTTCACCACAGCCCTCCCTGCTCCCTGGGCAGAGCGGCCTGGCTCGGGTGCCAGGGCTCCGGGCAGGGACCGGGCTGGCAGACACTCCTATTTTTAGTCTCCAGCCAGGGCAGGGAGGCGAGTGGAGCTGCTGCCTCACCCAGCTGTGGGCGTTCGGTTGCGTGCCGCCCAGAAAATGTGTGCCCTTCCCAGCCAGACGCCGAGGGAGAGAGTTTTCTAAAAATCATCCATCTGCCTAGAACCTCTGACTCCTGGCCTGGGCGGCTTCTTTCTGGCTCTGAAATCGTTTCAGACAAGAAAGAGGAGGGCGGAGGTGAGATTGAGCCTGCTCAGTGATGGAGTGTGGCCACGTGGTTACCGGCTTAGAAAGGAGACGGTCACACACACACACGCAACGTCCAAGGACCTGGTGCCTTTGGTTATTGCATTCTCAGAAATATTAGGGACCAAGTGAGGCTGGGGCAACCTTAAGATAGTTGTTATGCAAATCAGACTTTAAAATTAGAGCCCCTCCCCCATGCCCTAGCCCCGTGGTCGGCAAACTGTGGCTCTCGAGCCACATGCGGCTCTTTGGCCCCTTGAGTGTGGCTCTTCCTAAGCCTTAGGAGTCCCCTAATTAAGTTAATAACAAAGTACCTACCTATATAGTTTAAGTTTAAAAAATTTGGCTCTCAAAAGAAATTTCAATCGTTGTACTGTTGATATTTGTCTCTGCTGACTAATGAGTTTGCCGACCACTGCCCTAGCCAGTTTGGCTCAGTAGATAGAGTGTCAGCCTGCAGACTGAAGGGTTCTGGGTTCGAGTCCGGTCAAGGGCACATGCCTGGGTCATGCGCTCAAAAAAATCTATATATATAAAAGCCGAAGGGACCGTTATAACCAGACGGCTGGATGACCAGCCAGTAGCTATGACACATACTGACCACCAGGGGGCAGATACTCAATGCAGCAGCTGCCCCCTGGTGGTCAGTGAGCTCCCATAGCCAACCTCCCACGGCAGGCCAACTTCCTGTGGTCCCTCCACCCCCCCCCCCCCAGATTGGCCCTGATTGCCAGCCTGGCCGAGGAACCCCACCCATGCACAAATTCGTGCACCAGGCCTCTAGTATATTAATAAAATAAAATTAGAGCCCCTCTTACCACTTAGTAGACTTGTGATCCATCAGTGTAGCTCATCTCTCTAAGCCATGGGCTCCTCATTTATAAAATGGACTAATGGTAACACCTAGTGTGGCCTTGTAAGGACTGAATAAGATGATCCATATAAATTGCTCCAAAAGTCCTTGGCTCATAATAAGTGTTCAATCAATGCTAACTATCATCATGGCTACTTGTGTATCCCTTTTCCCACAGACACCACGATTACATACAATAAAGCTGTTATAAAAGGGTCGCGGAGCATGATCCCGTCCTCTGGAATCAGAGTTACGAACGGGTTCTCCTGCAAGAAGGAATAATCCCCCGCGCCCGGAAGGGGGTGAAGACATGGAACCAAACGTTCCAGGGGAATCAGAAAACGTCTCAGGAGTGAGACCAAGAATGTCTGCCTCTCTGTCCCCGACATTCTACCCCCCCCCCGCCCCCCGCCCCGGCTGAAACCTCACGGCTGGAGCAAATAAAGAAAAATGATGGTCTCCGAGGAGCAAGCTGCCTGAGTCATTAGTGCAGATTTAGCTAAGAGCACGAAGCTTAGATAAACCGCATTTATTAAATTTCCCCCCGGGGTGAAAGTCCTGGTTTGGGCACACGTGAATTCCACAGGAAACTCCCAGAAAGCCAAGAGAAAGGGTCCTTTGACCTCCGCAAAGCTCGCATGAAATACATCTTTCATGGTGACCTAGGGAAAGGGTTTTGCCCTCAAGACTGTTCCAGGGTCAAGTTTCACTCCTAGAAGGAGAGGCTGCCTTCCCGGGGGCGGGGCCGCTTTCAGGCATCTAACCCCACCCCAGGGACCACCATCCCCTTCCCTTCTCCATCCTTATTCACTCCTCGGGCTATGGAGGGTGGCACAGCACACTGTTGTGTTAAGGAAACTTGTTCTGATGGGAGGAGGTCCTCCCCAGAGCCTGGCCTCCTGCTCTGTGACTTTGGGTTTCTTTCTCCTGCGTTGAGGCTCCTTCTGCGTGAGGCTAATGTCCACTGAGCTCCCGTCTTTCCCGATGCCCCCTCCTCAGAGTAAACGGGCTGAGATGAGGGTGAAGGCAGCCAACTCATCAAACGCTCGTTGTGGCAGGCGCTCTCTATCTGTTCTCTCGCTGAACCCTTACACGAGCCGCATAAAACCAGTATCACGTGATTCCCCTCTCACTGCGGAGGAAACCAACATTGAGAGAAGTCAAGTAACTTGGCCAGGATCACACAGCCAGAAAGCCCGGGAGGCAGGAACCCCATTCTGGTCCAGCAGACCCTGCGGGCTAAACTGAAGCAACACACCGCTCAATATTGGTGTTGGAAGTCAGCACAGTGCTAACCTTTGGGGAGAATGGGGTGATGATGGAGAGTGGGCACAGGGGGGCTTCTAGTCTATTCTTTGCTCTGGGGGCACTTAAATGAGCGCGTGGATTCACTTTGTGATAATCCCTTGAATGGCACATTCAGGAGTTCTGCACCCCTGCATACGTTTCACTTCAATGACGACAATTGTTGGCGAGCTTCTTTGTCTTGTATCAGTGTGTGCACACAGGCGTGTGTGTCTGTCTATTTAGTGGGGGCCCCGAGAAGCATGAAGTGGCTGCTGTTCAGAATGGAATGGCCTTCCCAATGTGAAAACAGAAGCACAAAACCAACGTCCACTTGGGATCCCTCCTGGAGACAGTACTTGGGACCTGAGCAAAGAGGGGAATGAGCAGAGTGGCCCTTTGCAGGTGTGGGGCAGAGCCGACAATGGGGCTTTCTTCAGCTCTGCACTGCCCCCACCCAAGGGGCTCTTCATCGGGGACACCTGGAGCAGGAGCGACAACGGGGTCCCGGTGCCAAAGCCTTTGTCTCCTGCCTCACGCAGTCAGCCTATTGAATCCGGGTCTCCCTTTTCTCTGCGCCGTGTCAATGGCTGGGGTGGGGAGGGTGGAGGGCAGAGGGAAGGAGGGCCTGGCTGACGGCGGAGTCCAGGGAAACCTGGCCTTTTGTGCTGCGGGGACCCTGTTCTCCTTTCCTGGTCGGACCCGGGCCTGCAAGGGATAATACTTCACCAGCTTAATGGCCCGGGCCCATCACCTTTGCCCGACTGTCTGAGCTGCCGGTGGGAATGCCACAAGATGCAAAATGTGTTTCCCATTAAGTTTAAATTAAAAATGAGAATCAAGACAGATACCCACTCTGTGGCCTCCCTGTCACACAACATATTTCATCTCTCGTGCCGCTACTACTGAAAAACACAGTTTCTTAGCCCGGCCTCAGTGGCTCAGTGGTTGAGCATCAACCTATGAAAGAGGAGGTCGGGGTTTGATTCCTGGTCGGGGCATATGCCTGAGTTTCGGGCTTGATCCCCAGTGTGGGGTGTGCAGGAGGTAGCCGATCAGTGATTCTCTCTCATCACTGGTGTTTCTATCCCTCTCCCTTCCTCTGAAATCAATAAAAAATATATTTAAAAAAAATAACACAGTTTCACAGAATTTTTCACAGGCCAGACTCAGTTATACATATGGAAACCAACTTTTTGGTAAAATGAAGAAAGACTTTCTTCTGCCCATGGTGCCCCACCCAGGATCTATTGGGCTCCCAGAAACCCCCAACTCCCCCCAGTGGCCCCACGTTTGAACTGCCAGCTGGGGACCGCTCTCACTTCCTTTGAGGTCCCACCCAATCTCATTTCCCGCAGCCACGGCTGTAAATAAGGCCCATGCCAAGCGGGCTGAGCCCAGAGAGATACCGTGGGGCCGCCCGTCAGGCCCTGAGTGGGCACCGCGGGGAGGAGAGAAGGACACGGTTCGTGTGGTGAAGGGTTTGGCTTAATCTGCCTCATTCCAGGAGGCCACAGGCAAGTTTTCGGAAAGCATTTATCTCTTGGGACAAATAAAAACAGAACAAGCTGTGGGGAAAGTGGTCTGGCTCTACATGGAAGGCCCGGTGGAGGAGGCTGATTCCAACACAGAGAAGGGACGACGCTGTGGTGCAGGTTAATGCCCGAGCTCTGCGGGCCCATCTCCACGCAGAGGGGAGGCTGTGGGCCTGGCCTCAACCCGGGACTTAAGAGGCCTGGGTCTCAGATACCAGCGGCTCTCCACTGGCCGTCTGCCTTTGAGCCAATTTCTGAACCTCAGTGGCCACAGCTTTAAAATGGGGATTATAAATAGTCCGAGTGGTGTCCACAAGGGGGCGTCCTGTCCACGTACACTAGTGAATGACACCTGGGGAGGTGCACACCTGAGCCCTAGTGTCCCCAGGAGGTCCGGATTGATCCTAAGTGCTCTGTGCATCCTCCCCAGCCCCCCTCCCGCCTCCCCCTCAAGTGTGGGCAGTGTCACAGCGGGACCAGAGTGTGGCCACTCTGTGGGGAACAGCCTACAAGCCCAGGCCTGAAGGACAGGCACCTGCAGGCAGGCGGGATAAATGCGAGCATGCTGGGTTATCAGACCAGGTGCGGAGCGGTTTGATGTTGCTATTTATTCTCCACCCCGGACAATTCATTTACAATTTGATGCTTACTTTTATTTATTTTTAAAAAAATATATTTTTATTGATTTCAGAGAGGAAGGGAGAGGGAGAAACAGATAGAAACATCAATGATGAGAGAGGATCATAGATCGGCTGCCTCCTGCACTCCCCACACAGGGGATCGAGCCCGCAACCCGGGCATGTGCCCTGACTGGGAATTGAACTGTGACCTCCTGGTTCATAGGTCGACACTCAATCACTGAGCCACACTGGCTGGGGTTCAGTGCTTACTTTTAAAGCTTCCCTCCCAGACAACCAGAATGACTACTCAAGCGCCTGTTAGAACGTGTAAATGTGACGCCGGGGCTTCGTATCCTATAAGTCTAAGGTTCCTTTTTGCTATGAAAGTCTGGGGAGATCAGACTGCGAGGAAGCACAGCTAGTCGGGAGCCCCTGACGCGCAGTTTAGGCCTGAGGTGTCCGCGTCTCTGCTGACTCCTTAGCCCACAGCACTTCCTCCTTCTGTGCGGAGGCGCTCAGCTATTCTCCTTCCACTTCTTGCCCAAGTGCAAGATGTTTGAACTCCGTGCCCTCCTCAACAGAAGGACAGGGGACCCAGCACCAGGCACCAGCATTCCTTCCTCCTGCCTCTGCTCAGGGGCCTGGCCTCTTCCCCCAAAGTGCCAGCCTCCCTGTCTGAGCACGAAACATCTGCTGGAAGTCCATCTGCAAAAACAATACAGCGTTTGAGGACACGCTGGTGGACACCAGGGGGTTCCCAGCCATCCAGGCAGCAGACGGCCACCAGCCACGTGACCTCCTGCCACGGTGTAGCAGGCCAACCACCACCCGGGGCCATAGGGTCCCAGACGCTAGAGCCTGAAGGTAGACACCAATGAAAATGAAGCATGAATCAAAGCTGCCCTCCAGGCCAGCAGGTCACTGTAAGTCTAGGTTCCTCAAAAGGCCTGCAGACTATGCCAGTCCTATGCCGGGCGAGCGTGTATGAGCCTTGATACGGGCATTTCGGTTTTGGCTTTCACAGGCAGCTGTGGTATTTCTATCAAGACACAGACCGATTTCCATTGAGCTGTTTCACTCCACATTGTACCATATATATACTCTGTTCCATCTCCTCTCCACTCTGAAAATGTGTTCCACTAATAATCTCCTTTCTGGAAACTTCATTTTCTTTTTATGACCTTCGGGCATCTTCCTTCACGTCCACACATACTCTTACAAAATAAAGAAGGAGCCCGGCCAGTGTGGCTCAGTGGTTGAGCATCTACCTATGAACCTGGAGGTCATGGTTCAATTCCTGGTCAGGGCATATGCTTGATCCCCAGTGTGGGGAGTGCAGGAGGCAGCTGATCACTCATCATTGATGTTTCTGTCTCTCTTTCCCTCTCCCTTTCTCTCTGAAATCAATAAAAACATATAAAAAATAAAGAAAGAAAAAGAAGCCAACCACACGCTTCCTTGCCCTGCTACCAGTACCCCCCAAATAGCACACTCTCTGGCCGCCACTTCTTCATTGCCTGGCCGCTCCTTCACTCTTGCTGTTATCTGCTCTCCGCCAGTAGCCAGCCTGCTCAGTGGCTGCCAATGGCCAGCTCACCACATTCCTGGCCCTTTGGAGCAGATGTTGGTCTTACTTCAGGGCCTGTGGCTTGGGTCCCTCTGTGACAGGGAGTCTGAGTGGGGATTTGGGTTGTTTTCGGACCGGCCAGAAAGCAGGGTCTGGGGATCACACGGCATGAATGGGCCTTTCCCCACATCCAGTCAGAATGGGCTTGGACGTTTCCCCAACAAGGGCATCTGTCCTGGAGCCCCGAATCACTGGGCCCAGGCTGCCTCGGTCCATCTCTTCTCCCAGAAAGGAGGAAAAGGGGCCCGTGAGGCCTGGCCTCCTGATGTGGGGAGAAGCACACAGGCAGGTTTGGCCAGTGCTTTCGCTTTGCTGGTCTCTGCGTCTCATGCCCACGTCCACCCCTGCCCTGCCTAGCTAGCATCCTTCATTGCAGGGGTCTGTGCAAAGACCTTATTTTTTAAAAAGTCTATGAACACTGAAGTGCTGAGAAACAGAGATGGTTAGAAAACGCTCATTCTCCAAAGCCTCGGAAAAAACTGGGTGGAACGTTGCCCCCTTTTTGGAAATGGCTGGCCTCGGGCTGACCTCCTGCTGCCGCAAGACTCAGACATGAGGTCATGGCTCTGGTGGTAACATATACGGCGTCACCCCCACTCCCCACTGGATGCCAGACGCCTCGGAGGGGTGACCGAGGAGCCCGGGGGCACCGGTGGAAACTCCTGAAGGCACTTTTCTAAATGTTTAATGTTGGAAGCCAGAGTGTGTTGCCCCAGTCCACGCAGCGCACTGTTGCCGAACAAGACAGACAACACCAAGGATGGTGAGGTGAAGACCCGCTGGACAGCGCAGAGCAAATGAAGAACCGACCACCTGAGGGCCCAGGAGATGGGAAAGGCGGCCCGGAGGCCCTGTCCAAGGATCTCAGCTTTGATGGGGCTTGAGAATCATCAAACCCTTTCCCTCCGAATCTTAGCACCTTCGAGAGATCCCCAGCTGTCCCGGCCACTGACAGCAAACACTGTCTGCGAAGGCGGCCACTCTGTCCCTGGGCAGGGCTGGCTCAGAGAAAGCTTCCTCGTAGGTGAGCCCACATCTGTTTACCTGTAACATCAACTCCCGATATCAGTACCGACCTTTCTGGCCACAGAATAGCCCTTTCATCCTTGGGGGCACTGGTAGACCACCGGGCCAGGACTTCCAATGAAGAGTTAAAGCCAAGGTTATTAGTGGGCCTCAAAGAATTCTGGGTGTAGCGCATGTCAAATGACCTTTGTATCAAAGTGTTGGTGCTAGTGAACCCCCACCGTGGAGAAATCCTACGGGCAACTGCGCGCTCTCTGTGTGAACTCTCCCTTTCCCAAGCGCCTTCCTCCTGGCTGTGTCAGGTGACACTTCCAACAGGCTCACCGACCTGACCTGCGGCACCTGCCCCCTTCCCGGCTTAGTAAGAAGGGGGTGTGGGTGGCAGCCCTAAAGGCGGGGTTAAGAGGCTCCAGAGTGACCCCAAGGATAAGAGGAATTGAATGTGTAAACGTTCACATCCTTCAATCCTAAATCCATGGATCTAGATTTGCTGTGGGAACCCTAACTCATCGCTCAGGACAACACGAGCCAGGGCATCCCTGTATTTGTCATCCTGGGGCTGTTTCTGGGAAGGGGTTCTCACAGGCCATGTGCGGCCAGCCTCGGGCAGACCCCCTGGGCCACAGCTCCCTACTTGTTCTCCATTCCTCAGTTTACTTCCCTTGACACCCCAGGACTGGGTCAGCCTCTCGCAGGGTCTGCTGGAGCCCACGGGACCCTGGTAACCTCACGGCCCCCACCCGCAGTTCCTACAGCTTCTGCCCAACCAACGCCGATGGCAGGGGATCCAGCTTCCTTCCCTGGGTTGGCTCCCTGGGAAGCCAGTCTGGTTGGGAGCGGGCCAGGCAGAGGTCTCCCCCAGCCCTGGGGACCTGGGCTGCACCCTCCAGGCGGGGGGCTCCCTCCCCAGAAGGAGACAGGCACTTACTTTCCCTGAGGTAACTGAGGTGTGACAACAGCACTTCCGTGTTGTAGAGGGAGGTGGCTCGGAGGAAGTCCTCCTTGTTCATTTTGCACAGTTCCTTGCCGTCCATGTTCTGGAAAAAGGCCGTGTCAATGTCCATCAGGCCGTACTCCTTTATCGCCCACTCCAGCCACTGCCGCACGTGCTCCTGTGTCCACAGCGTGGGGTCTGCAGAGGACAAGGCCTGTCAGCCAGGGCTTCACCAAGCCTGGGCAGCCTCTCTCAGTCTTCCTCCCTCCCTCCTTCCCCTTCTCTCTCTCTGTCTCTTTCCTCTCCAATCTCCCTTTCCCTTTCCCCCACTCTCCCTCTCCACCCCCCTCCCCACGCTCACTGGGAAAGTGGGTTCCCTCCCAGATGGTCCTCCCAGAGCTCCATCTGGTCCAGGGCATCTGGCGCTGCCTGAACCACTTAGCACGCTGGGGAGGTTCTCAGATGCCTCACTCCACATCCTGACAGGACACTCTTTAAAGCTCTGGGAAGTCCATTGAAGCCTTTGCCTGAGAAATGGTGGCATCCAAGTGAAAATAAACACAGTTCCAGCCATCAGGGCCCAGCGTCTCTGGCAAGGGAAACCAGCTGCCTCTCGAGAACACTGATTTCATGGAAGAACACGAGCTCTCAGATGCTACAGAGAGAACACATCTGTGCACGCAGATGGCAGACCCGGTGGTGTGAGGCCTTAACATGGACCAGCCTGCGCTTTCTCCTTTTGGAGACAGCTGTGCTGAAATTTCTACCAGATCTTCCTCAAAACGTTTTTAGGATATTTAAGTCCCCAAAGATGAGAAACCTTTAGCCCTTCAGTGAACATAATAATGTAAGGACTGAGGCCATCTCCACGTAGGACCCTCATGACTGAGAAATGGTGTGTGTGTGTGTGTGGGGGGGGTGCACTCTGAGTGCTGATGGGGAGTCTAGTAGGTTCCACAGAGGTAGCCTTACAGCTTACCACCTAGCACAGTCTGGAAGCCATCTTTTTCCTTGGCAAACAATTAATAGTGAATCCAAGAAACACTTGACATCTGCTCATCAAAGAAGAAAATGACATGGCCCCTGGCCTCATGAAAGACCTGTCCACACGAAGCATGCAGGCAGGAATGCACAGAGCTAAGCAACACATTTTGCAGTGGGCGTTGAAGCAACCGGAAGAGGAGGACCTTCGTGTAAACCTGGAGCGTCAAGGAGGGCCTTCTGGAGGAGGAGGGAGACTGGGCACGGTATGTCAGCTGTCAGCCGCAGCTTCTACTGGGCCTCTTTGATCGGCAGGCTTATTGGGTAGGAGTATCTGTGCCACCTTTCAACCCCATCACCCTCCCCTAAGAGTCTGGGCAAAACTGGACATCAGAGCTTCTGCCGTTGCCCTGGTCTGGCACGGTCCCCTGCTTCTCCTTGGTGATTGCATGTGAGAATTAGGCTGGAAGTGGCTGTGTAAAGTGCCCAGCAGCAGGCCCTGCATGGGGTGGTCGCTGCATGTGTGCTGAAGGTCGGGGGGGGGCGGAGAGCTGGAAAGAGGAGAGTGAGGAGAGGGGAGTCTGGAGTTACAGGTCACGGGCTGCTGCTGACTGTCATACCACAACCCAGTGCCCGCAGGCCAGATCTGGGGTGCCTCCTGTGTGCCCCCTGCTCCACCTGTCCTGTTTTTCACTGATCAAGAAAATCCTACAAAATGGCTTTTATCTTCATTCTCCAGATGGAAAGTGAAGTCTTGAAAGGTTAAGGCCTTAGCTCAACCTAAATCCAGGTCTGAGCGGGGGTTCCAATCCAAGTCTCCCCAGGACTTCATGTAGTCCAGGTGGGTGGGTCTTTTCTTCTCACAGTCCTTCCTGAACTTATAGCTTCATTGTATAAGTCAGAGACAATTGGGCATAGACCATTGGTAACTGGAAATAATTTTGCACCATTTCAGAATTCTAAAGAAAAATGGAGGAGGCTGGGGTGGTGGGTTATGTAGCATATTATTTTATCTGATCTCCTCTGCTTCTTCTAATTCTCATTTTTAGCGTGCAAGGCCTCAGATCCCACGCCACACCATGTATTTAATGTATTTATTTCCTCCCTTGCTTGGGACTCTATCACAGTATTATTTCTCTCCCTTTAGAGCACAATGAATTCTAAATCTTCCTCTCTGGATCATGCTAACCTCTTCCAAATTTCCTGGATGATTGGTCCCAATTTCTTCCTATCTGAACTTGGACCTGGTGGTTAACTAGGGCCCTCATTTACACTTGTCTTAAAATCCCACCATGAGTGCAATAGGTTCCTCCACTGATGTTTTATTGCCTTGATCTGTGGACATTATTGCCCAGTGAAACTTCCCCTCACGTCCAGCAGGCTGGCCTGGAGGAAGCCACAGTGTCTGAGGGTAATGCCTAATGACTGAGCCAGAGGGAAAGCAGGGAAGTCAATCCATAGCTAGTGAGTTCATTATATGAAGTGCTTTAAAAATCCCTTGATATGAACTTCACCGTTTTCATTATTACTGCCCTAGTTACCTTGGTCCACTGCAGACTGACATTTTGATATTCTTTTTGAAGATATTTCAACATCCATTTAGAGTTGAAGGGCCAACCAAGCAGTCTGGCCGTCTTTGTCCCTTTCTCCTACTCCCTCCCCCCACCCCCCAAAGAGTCTACAGAAATGTACACATTGGGTTAAGTAAGACAATCTCGGATCCCCTAACCCTTCTGTCCTCAAGATCTCCTTCCCATGCTGGCCACTGGCGAGGCTGGGGAGTTCAATACCAAACCACCAGAGGCCTGGCTTGGTTTGGCTTGGCCTTGGGGAGTCCGCAGAGGCCCCACCATGCCCACAGCAGTGCGGTTCCATTGTCTGCCACCTTCTGATGTGAAGGCAGAAGACACGGTTCTCTTGGACATGACAGATGCACCTGAGCTATAGACATTCCTAGCTGGGGTCCTGGAGGAGATCACGCATGAAGTGACATAGGTCACACAATGTGGGTGAAGCAGTTCAATGGTGCCCAGCACCCCGAAGTGCTCATTAACGGAGCTACTCCTTCTCCTCCTTTGTGAGCTCACGTGCTTGTGGAAGAAGGAAACTTAAAAGGCTCGTGAGCAGCTTTGAGGTCCTACGGGGCACAGACACATCCCTGTTAGCCACGGATCCCCACCCCTCCCACCTTGAACTTGGCCCAGCACACCAGGGTGTAGCTGTAGTCCCAGGAGATGGGGAGACACAGCTTCCCATGGAAAATGAATACAAAGGGCCTGGGGGGAGTGGCCCACACGAAGCCACACCTTCTAGACCAAGAAGCAACTGCCTTTGGATCTCCTCAAAGAGATGTCTAATCCTTGCCTCACACACAACTGCGTTTGTATTTTTCCAAATGCAAGGGGCATTGCCTTCTCGGTAGAGTTATTTTGGTCAAATGACTCTTAATCTCTGCCCTATAATTCATGTTGCTTAAGGTTTGGACGTTCTAGCTCCTTCTACCTGGCACCAACCCCACACGGTTCAGTTTTCAGACTCCCTTTTGGACCTGGCGGCTGAGCTTGCTGGTCTAGCCGAGGCCGAGCGTCCAGCCAATACAGGGAAGACTCGAACAATGATTTTATTTTCTGTACCCAACTGCACTAATACCTAGGAAAAATAGGCTTTTTTTACATAATGACATAACTCGCTGCACACATGGTAAGGCACTCCATTTGTTAAATATAGTTATTTCTATTTTGAGACTGGACGCGCTGGCTATAATTTTGGAAAGGTGGGACCCTGTGGATGCCAGGAGCGCATGCCCGATGGGCACGACAGACCTCTGTAGCCACTCTGCTCCTTCCAGGGAGGGTGGGCACGCCTGGGACTTCCCTGGGCTCTTGCTCTCTGAGCCGGCCTCGCCCTATGGGACCAGGCACTGGCACAGAGTCTGTGATGGGATCTGCACTCAGGGTTCTGGTGACATTTGGACAGGGTCTTGGAAGGCAGCTGAGGAAGAAGGTGAGAGACCAGGGCACCAGGTAAAAGTTGAGATGCCCTGGGGACAGGCCTGCCCTTCAACTACTCGCCCAGAGAGTGAGGACGTGGATGCCCGCCAGCAACCTGGTTCCCACGGTACCTGCGGGGACGATCACCCTTCTTTCGTTGGTGGTCATGTTGGGAGGAGGGGGGCCGTTCTTCTCGTCCATGTAGCTGTTGTAGTTCATGGCATTGGACTCGCCTCCACCAACCAGCTTGCTGCATTTGCTGACGCTGCAGTCCACCGGAGACTCCCTAGATGGAGAAGAGACAAAAGCCAGGAAGTCATCGCTGCCACTGTGGTCCCCACAGCACGGAGCTCACCCTGGCCAATCGCTCAGACAACCGGAGTCATTTCCCAGCCCCACCTGGTGCAGGATGGTGAGGATGCTGCTGAAGCCGCCTTATTTCTTTTTTTAAAAAACATGTTTTTATTGATTTCAGAGAGGAAGGGAGAGGGAGAGAAATATTAATGATGAGAATCATCCATTGGCTGCCTTCTGCATGCCCTCTACTGGGGATCAAACCTGCAACCCTGGCATGTGCCCTGACCTGGAATTGAAGTAACCTTGACCTCCTGGGTTCATGGGTTGATGCTCAACCACTGAGCCACACCAGCTAGGCACTGCCACCATATTTCTATTCTCCACACTGCCACCAGAGTTTTCTTCCAATCCCAGCCTGGTCCTAGAATTGCCATACTTAAAAACTTTTGGCAGCTCCTACTGCCCTCAGACTAGAGCAGCGGTTCTCAACCTGTGGGTCGCAACTCCTTTGGGGGTCGAATGACCCTTTCACAGGGGTTGCCTAAGACCATCTTGCATATCAGATATTTACATTATGATTCATAACAGTAGCAACATTACAGTTATGAAGTAGCAATGAAAATAATGTTATGGTTGGGGGTCACCACAACATGAGGAACTGTATTAAAGGGTCGCGGCATTAGGAAGGTTGAGAACCACTGGACTAGAGTCTGGACTTCTCAGCACAGGACTGCAGTTCCCACCTGCCTGCAGCTGACACTTTTCACCTTGTTACCAGGCAGGCTACACCTGGCTCCCCATACTGTGTCTGCATTGGTCCTAGGACTGTCATGCCCTGTTGGCTTGGCAGGTGCCCAGGCCCTTGCTGGATGAGGGAGTTTCCTGGGATGGTGACATTACCTTTTTGTAACCTCGATGTAGATGATCGCCAGCTTTATACAGAACCTTGTACAGGGGATGAGCGATAGCTGTTTCCTGAGCGAATTATTTCTATTGCACGCATATCATTTCAACACATTTTTCATACGTTGTTCTATTTGAACTTCCCGATAGCCATCCAAGATAGGCCTGGCAAGGGTTAATGGGTCCTTGCTATGGTTAAGGCAACTGAGAGGCGAGGTGACTGGGCCAGGGTCACCCAGCTAGTACAGGTGGCAGCAGGGTCTTTAATGTTAAGCTTCCCCATCCAAACACACATGCGGAAGAGCTGGTTGCTGGGTGGAGGAGGAATAGAATCCAAGAACTTCAACCTGGTATGGAGAGGCTGTGGCCTTGTGGCGTTTCCCAGCCCTGGCACCACACTCACAGGGGAAGTATACAGAGGTGCACAAGGGACAGGGCCAATCACCCAACCTGGTCTCAGAGTCTGTAGCCCAGTTAGCCCCTGAGGTTTTGCAAGAGGCTGCTCACTGGCTTCTGTCAGCAACAAGCAGCCATCTGGAGATCCGAGCATGCGGCCTCCTGGCGCCTAGAGCAGGTTGGCAGGACATGCCACATACCCCAGGGCAGCGTCACGGACCCTCTCCCCGTGCCCAGGGCAAGTGGCATCCAGCCCTGTCCTAGCTTTCACTTGCCACTCAGCAGCAGCAGCAGGACCAACGCAGGCAGCCAGGCCAAGGGGAGGCTGCAGCTGCGGGTCTACGGAGCAGGAAGCTCCGGTTCTTCCACGCGGGAGACCAGCCAGCTCTCTCAAGAGCTCCAGACCAGCCTTCAGACCCAGGAGTTCAGATGAGGTTCAGATGACAGCCGCCCGGCTCGGCCGCCCAACCCCTCCGGCCTTCGGAAGGCCTGGCCGCTGCCTCCCTCACTCTGCTGTGGTCGGGGACTGACCATCAGGAGGCCCCAGGCAGCAGGGCGCTGCCAGATGGGGTCCCGCTCCTCTCGCAAGGCGGTGGCAGTAGCTCCACTCACAGGGAGAGCAGCCCAGCCACGAACGCAGAAGAGGCGGGGGCAGCCCTGCGGGGGGGACTCGGGTCGGCCGGGGAGGCTGAGCACATTCAATAAAGTAAATTAAATGAATTTGTTTCTTAATCTGAAAGGAAAAAAATATTGAAGATCACTTATCATGGCTGGGAGATAAATGCTCCACTGAGATATTAGAAGTCAGACGGTAATTTTTTCCTGATGTCGTACAGAGGGGAACATGGGCTGAAAATGAAAATAAGATGTATAACTTACACATGTTAGAATTTAAGGTTTTACTATTCGCCTACTGTTTTTCCAGGCAGAGAACCAAGAGCCAGCCGTCAGAAACCCAGACTGTTGAAGGTTTAATGTCCCCGTGGCAGTGCGAGGGAGGCAGTAGCTCATCAGGACTTTTCACCAGGGGTTGGCCTTTGGCTTCTGCTGTTTAAGGACTTGGCCTGAGATGAAGCCGTCCCTGAAAGACCCTGGTCCTGGGTCTGAGCTGGGCCATGGCCAAGCTCACTGGGCTCCTCATGGCTAACCGCAAGTGAGGGTATGCGCACACACACATACACACATATGCATGCACGCATGCACACAACAACACACACGTGCATACATGCACACCCAACATATACACACACATATGCACACATCCTCACCCCAGTGCACACATTCGCACATGCATGTACACCCCAACACATGCATGCACACCCAATGCACACACACCCATACACACGCATACCCCAACATGCACACACATACATGCATGTCCAACGCACACCAACACATACATGCACATACTTAGAGCATGTGTGCACACCCAGGTACATGCATGCACGCATGCACACACATGCATATGCACACACCAAGCCACCAGGGCCTGGCAGCCTTTCTCAGTGTACTTGTTCACTGTGAAACAACTCAAGTGCAGCAGAAGTGGGAGGATTAAGTTGGCCTTTAACCAAGAGAGCAGCGTCTCATTGGCTGGGAACTCGGGGGCAGAGGGTGGGGTTGCCCGAGCACACACTTCCCCGGGAGGAAGCCGAGCGCGAGGGCCATGGGCAGGGATGATGCCTTTCAGCCTGGAGCACACTGTCTGTCCAGGGCAGCGTGACGGGGGAAGAGGCTGCTCTGTGGGCTGCTCTCCCCTTAGGGACGCTGGGGAGATGAGTTTCACAACATCCTTTCCCACATCAGCCAGGCCTCTGGGGGTTTCTGGGCCCCAAACTGACCCCTGCCATGCAGAGGTGAGAAGACAGAACCTCAGAAATCCCTGAAATGATAGCCATTTAAGCACCTCTGGCAGGGCCAGTCCTGGTGCCAGGAGTGGAGAAAAATAAGTTTGAAAAAAGAGAACATTTGGTGAAAGCTACCAGGTATGTTGCCTGGTAAGAAGAGGCACCTGCTGGAAGGTGGGTACTGAGGAGGCAGGAGCACCCGCTCCTGGTATCAGAACCATGGTCAAGGCCAGGGTTCTCTTGCTGGGTGACTCCTGGGAGCTGCTCAGTGCTCAGAGCCTCCTTACTTCCTATCCCATAGAAACTCGCATCTGTCTGCTTCCTCCTCTTCCCTTCCTCAGCCCGTGTTCACACCTGCTCCCCAGCTGGGCGGGATGCTCTGTTTGAACAGGCCCTGTCCTCAGCCTCAGACCCCTCAGCTAGGATCTGCACTGGGGTGCCCTCTGGGAGAAGCCTGGCCCCAGCCTGGACCGCGGCCCTTGCCAGGCCAGCCCTGCTCTGACGGCTCAGGAGAGAAAGAAGCCACACACACCTTTATTCCCATGCTCTCAGCCGCTCTGCCTCCTCCAGACGGCATCCCCTCGTGTGTGGCCACTGGGCTCCACAGCTACTGCTAAGGGGGGGGGGTGTCCAGGTGAAGCACAGCATAAAGGCTGCTCTTTACCGAGGCAGCTGGCACCTGTGAAGGGGCCGGATGAAAACAAGAGGGCGGGGAGGAGGAGCACAGATGGAGGGAGGAGGCTCGGCCAGTCAGTTGGTCTACACCACCGCGGATTTGTATTGAGACCTGCACTTATAGCTAGCACACGGCCAGGGCCCACCGGCAGCTGACGCACTGGGACAGGTGACAGGAGGGCTGGGCGGCCACAATAGGGCAGGGAGGAGGTGGTGGCTCCGACAGGTTAACTCCGAGCATGTCCATCTCGGCCACGGCTCAGAAAGCCACGGGTCAAAAAGCCACAGCAGGAAAGCCACGACATGGAGGCCACGGCAGGGAGGTCACACCATGGGGGACCACGGCATGGGGGGCATGAACCTTGCAGCCTGGCCCTTTATTTTCACCCCGGGACATAAGCTCCGTCCTCCTCTGGTCCTATTTTTGCGTGTTCAGGGAACATTGTTTTACAGAGACCACTACTGATTTCCAAGAAGTGGCTTACAAACTGTTAAGCTGTTTAAAACAAGATGAGCAACCTTCAGTATTTGAATAAAAGGAGATTTCAAAGACCTCTCCCAAAGAATACCCCTTCGACCAAAAACATTTTCTCTATCTTGCCATTGAACTCAGGGCACCTTCACTCAGGGGGTGTCAACCCATCCACGAAGCTATAGCCGGGCTCACCATCAGGGATGCCCAAGACTCACACGGATCATGTGAAGTCTCAAGGCTGCCCAAGACTCACACGGATCACGTGAAGTCTCAAGGCTACCCAATCAATGGCCATATGTACATTGGGACCTGTCATGTGTGTCTTCCATGTAATGTGTGCACATTGTGCAAAATTAAGCAAATCTTGCCCTGCTGGCATGGCTCAGTGGTTGAGCATCAACCCATGAACCAAGAGGTTCGGGTTCGATCCCCTGTCAGGGCACATGCCCAGGTTGTTGGCTCGATCCCCAGTAGGGGGTGTGCAGGAGGCAGCCATTCGATGTCTCTCTCTCTCATCATGTTCCTATTTCTCTCTTCCTCTCCCTTCCTTTCTCTCCCTCAAATTAATAAAAACATATATTTAAATTTTTTTTAATTAAGCAAATCTGTGTTGTCCTTAGGATTTCTATAGGATCTATACGTAGATGACTGCAGATGCTTTTTTGGTTTTGAAAAGAAGATGAAACAAGTTAA